AGTCTCTTCAATAAATGATGCTGGGAAAATGATATGCAGAAGAATGAAACTAGGATGGGCATAGTGGCTCACGCCTATAATTCCAACACTTTGGGAAGTAAGGCAGGAAGACTGCTTGAGCCCAGGCGTTCGAGACCAGCCTGGGCAACAAAGCAAGACCCTGACTATTTTAAGGAAAAAAAAAATTTTTTTTTAAGAAGAATGAAACTAGACCCCTATGTCTCACCATAAACAAAAATCAAATCAAAAGAGGTTAATGACTTGAATCTAAAACCTCAAACTATATAACTACTAAATGAAAACATTGGGGAAACTCTCCAGCACATTGGTCTGAGCAAAAATGTCTTAATTAATACCCCACAAGCACAGGCAATCAAAATAGAAATTGAAAATGGGATCACGTTAAGTTTAAAAGCTTCTGCACAGCAAAGGAAACAATCAACAAAGTAAAGAGACAACCCACAGAATGGGAGAAAATATCTGCAAACTACTCATCTGACAAAGGATTAATAACCAGAATATAAAAGGAACTCAAACAACTCTATAGGAAAAAAAATCTAATAATCCATTTTAACAATAGGCAAAAGATGTGAAGAGACATTTCTCAAAAGAAGACATCCAAATAGCAAACAGGCATATAAAAAGATGCTCACTGTTTATAATAGCAAAGACCTTGAACCAACCCAAATGCCCATCGATGATAGACTGGACAGGGAAAATGTGGCACATATACACCATGGAATATTATGCAGCCATCAAAAATGATGAGTTTGGGTCCTTTGTAGGGACATGGATGAACCTGGAAACCATTATTCTCAGCAAACTGACAGAAGAGCAGAAGATCAAACACCGCATGTTCTCACTCATAAGCGGGTGATGAACAATGAGAACACATGGACACAGGGGAGGGGAGCACTACACTCTGGGGTCAGTTGGGGGGAAATAGGGGAGGGATGGTGGGGGATGGGGAGTTGGGGAGAGATAGCAAGGGGAGAGATGCCAGATGTAGGTGATGGGGAGGAAGGCGGCAAATCACACTGCCACGTGTGTACCTATGCAACAATCTTGCATGTTCTTCACATGTACCCCAAAACCTAAAATGCAATAAAATAAATAAATGGAAAAAAAAAGGTGCTCAACATCATTGATCATCAGAGAAATGCAAATCAAAACTACAGTAAAATATCAGCTCATCCCAGTTAAAATGCTTTTTATCCGAAAGACAAGCAATAGCAAATGTTAGCTAGGATGTCGATAAAAGGGAACCTTTGTACACTATTGTTGGGAATGCAAATTAGTATATGTCGGTAACTCCCCTTCTGGGCACTGAGGAAGGAGAGCTAAGCACACCCCTGGCACAATTAGTGCCTGAAGAATATCTTATTGCTCATTTATTTCCTTTTATATAATCCTTTTATATAATGATATCTTAGTTTGTAGTCAGAGGAGTGTCAAGAGCAGACACGGTGCACAGCATGAACTAGGGAAAAACAGCCATGACAGGAGAAGAATCAATGGCCCAGGCAGTAATGCCCCTGCCTGAAAGGGCATGTGCTACATGGCAGGCTGGCCCAGGCGGCAGCATTCAGTATCATAAAGATACCTGCTGTATGGCAGGCTTGGAGCAAGAGTCACTTCTGCTGTAAGGGAGTTGAAGTATCTTACATGGCAGTTCTTGTGGAAAGCTGGCATTAGGCTGGCAATCCCTCGAACATCCGAGGGCTTAAAACCCCTCCGGTATAATCGCGCCTCAGTGGCTGTACTCCCTGTCAGCTCTCGTACTACTGGGCTGACTCAGAACATCTTCCTAGAGAAATCCTTAAAAGTTGCCTGTCCCTAGATAAGAGATGTTGCACACTGCACCTCCTTACTGCATTCTGCCAACCTCCTTGCCTTGGTGACCTAATGGGGGTAGGCCCTTTGCTTATTGCTCACGTGATCGTCTTGGCCCTATCACTGTCCAAAAGATGACCTCACTCACTACCCTTCCCCCCAACCCATACCAAATAAATACAGACCTGCCTGGACGCTTGGGGCCTCGCCTGTCTCCACTTGTAAGTGGCGTTGGCCCCCTGAGCCCATCTGCTCTCATCCATTCCTTTGGTGGCTTGTCTCACGTCTTGGATGCAGTGCCTCAACACAGTGATAGGGGCCACCCCACAACCCTAGTAGGGCTGGACCCTACATGTACAGACACTATGGAGAACAGTTTGGAGTTTCCTCAAAAAACTAAAAATAGAGCTACCATATGATCCAGAAATCCCACTGCTAGGTATACACCCAAAAGAAAGGAAATGGGTGTATTGAATAGATATCATCACTTCCATGTTTATTGCAGCAATAGTCACAACAGTTAAGTGTCCATCAATAGACAAACGAATAAAGAAAATGTGATACATATACACAAGAAGAACTATTCAGTTATTAAAAAAAAAAAAAGAATGAGATCCTATGTTTGCAGCAACATGGATAGAACTGGAGATCATTATGTTCTTAATAAATGAAATAAGCCAGGCACAGAAAGACAAACTTTGCATGTTCTCACTTAGTGGGAGCTAAAAATTAAAACAATTGAACTCATGGAGACAGAGAGTAGAATGATGGTTACCAGAGACTGGGAAGGGTAGTGGGGCAGAGGGAGGAAGTGTGTGAATGGCAAATGGGTACTAAAACGTAGAAAGAATGAATAAGATCTAGTATTTGGTGGCACAACAGGGCGACTAGAGTTAATAATTTAACTGTACATTTTTAAGTAACTAAAAGAGTATAATTGGGTTGTTTGTAACACAAAGGATAAATGCTTGAGGTGATGGATATCTCATTTACCCTGATATGATTATTATACATTATATGCCTGTATCAAAATATTCCATATTTCCCACAAATAAATACACCTATACTCACAAAAATTAAAAAAATTTTTAAAAACCGTGTACACAAATGTTCAAAGCTGCATTGTTCATAATGGCCAAAAAAGTGAAACAACCTTAATGTTTATCAACAGATGATTGGATAAATAAATTGTGGTTTACCTGTACAATGGAATGTATTTGGCAATAAAAAGGAGTGAAGTACTGATAAATGCTACAACATAGATTAACCTTAAAAGCATTATGCTATGTGAAGAAGCCAGTCACAAAAGGCCACAAAGATTTCATTTATATGAAATGTCCAGATAAGGCAAATCTATAGAATCAGAAAGTAAATTAGTAGCCATCATGGGGCTAGAGGAAAATGGAATGGGGAATGACTGCTAATGCTAATGGATACAGAGTTTCAGCTTGGGATAATGAAAATATTCTGAAATTAGATAGTAGTAATGGGTGCACAAAGTTTGTGAACATACTTTTAAAAGGCCACTGAATTGTATAAAAGGGTCAAATTTATGGCATATGGATTATATCTCCAGTTTTTTAAGTCAGTGAAATATCCCACACAAGAGCTCTTGTGCCTATACTGGTTCCCAGAGGCCATAGTATTTTTTATGGACTAGTCTTTTATCATTTAACCTTTCAGAACATGTGAATTAAGGTACCTTTTTGAAAGCATTTCTACAGACTAGGCTCAAAGGAAGTCAGAAAACTGTTTCAGATCTTTTGACATGCTTCCTGCTTGCCATCTTCAACAGACACTGATAGTGGGGCCTGACTCTGCTGCAGTCTATTCACCACTGATGGCAAATCTGTAAGAGTCACGCTCCAACAGCCCACTCACAAAAGCAGAATTCCAGGCCCTCTGAAACAGGAATCAGCAAACAAGTCATGCACATACAGGTAGCAGGCATGATGTGGCTCCCAGGCCCTAGTTTACCTCATACCAGCACTAAGAGAAAAAACACACAAGTGGGAATAAAAGATGTTAACACCTACCACGAAGTTATTTGTTGAATTGATTAATGAATCTGTCATTGTATTGATAAGCATGTCAAGTTATTTTATCTGTGTCCTATCAAAACCAGTTTCTGCCACTATCACTTCCTTCTTAGGAACTCTCCTGAAATCTTTTCTGGGGCTTCTGAGGCTGCCAACAGTATAGAGGTTTAAGAAATGGTATTCTGTCCATATATTGTCTTATGTTCATTTCACCTGACAGCTAGCATCAAACACTCAGGAGTTGCACAGGAAACTGAGAGTAAATTCTGTTTCTCTTTGCTCTTATAATGCCAAAGTGAATTAGTTTGCCATTCTCCATAGCAGTGATAGTGTAGAATTGTTGTTCATGTGCAGTCCTTTATATACAAAATCTGTTTCTAACCTACCCTTAGATCAATATGAATTCTCCCCTAAACCACTCACACTCTCACCCAGCCCTCCTTATGACCAAGAGTTTATTCCTGCAAGATGGTTAGCTATGGTTAGTTAGGATACGTCAGTGCATAAGGAACAAACCGATGCTAACTTGCCCCAAGAGCATTTCAGTAGTGCCCTCATTAACATGCCGGCTATGGCTAATCAACTGAACCAACCAACTGTAGACAAATACACAAGTATGTGTGGGGTAAGATGCCCATTGAATATTTGTGGAAGGAAGGAGAAAGGAAAATGGAAATGAATGTATGCTTGTAAAAACTGGTAACACCTTTGATTTTTTTTTATAACAACTGCTTCTTTTTACTTTATTATTCCCTTCATTCTCATATAATAGTCATCATTATCCTGTCCGTAGAGGTTGTATAATCATCCCAATTTTACAAGTAAGAAATCTAGACTTGGTTTTTCCCAGAGTCACACAGCAAATTACCTAACTATAAGTAAAAGCTAGAACTTCCATTCCTCAGAATTACTCTCAACCTTCCTGCTATGCTGGCCCCATCCTAGGGACATTTTGCTGAAAAAGCCTATCAGTTGCTTTCTGCTGAGGCTAGGAACTAGAACCATGCCACTAATTTATTAAACCCTATTTTGCAGGCAGATGAGGCCTGTGGGGTAGGTCTGCCAGTCCCTTAACTAGCCTTAACTCTACCCAGACCCACTCAGTGCACACACATGTATGTCTTCCAGGATTATGCCAGTGAAGGCCTTCGCACCCTAATGGTAGCCTACCGAGAGTTGGATGAAGCATTCTTCCAGGACTGGAGCAGAAGGCACAGTGAAGCCTGCTTGTCTTTAGAGAACCGGGAAAGCAGATTATCAAATGTCTATGAAGAAGTTGAAAAAGACTTGATGGTTAGTGAGGAAGCCAGGGACAGACTGGGTTAGGGATGGGGGCTGGCAGTCAGCAGACTGGGCAAGGGCTCTGAAAGTAGCTCCTAGAGGATTAACAGATGCAGGCTGTCTCTGAGAGGAAGGATAGGAAAGCTTGGCTGGAGAGCTCCATAGTTTTGTGCCAGGGAGGCTGGATACTGGAATCCCAGCCGATTCAGTATATCCTGGACCTTCTGAATCCATAATGAAAGAATGCACTGGTGATAATTTTTATCTTTCTAGCAGTGTTTCTAATCCCAAAGCTGTTCACAGAAGCTAAGTAATCTGGCTGAAAAGCTGTGTGAGTTGCAAGGCAGAATGTGCTGAGTTTTTATACCCCTGAGATCCTCACACCAGGACAAAGCCAGCTCACTAAAGAGAGTGCAGAGGTGCCAGCTCAGTCATTAGGTAGCACTAAATGCTCTGCCTCTTTCCTTTTTCCTCATTCACTGATACATCTTTTCAAAGCTGTTAGGGGCCACAGCCATAGAAGACAAGCTACAAGATGGAGTACCTGAGACAATCATCACCCTGAACAAAGCCAAAATTAAACTATGGGTTTTAACTGGAGATAAGCAAGGTAAACCCCTAGACTGATTGATCCTCTTCCTTATCCATCTTAGCCATTTCTTTTCCACCTCTTTTCTTTTTTTTACTTAGCCATTTTTTTGATATATATCTTCTAAGTCAAATCAAGTCCTTACAGGACACCTTTATTCTCAATCTTGTATACAATTTGCTGAGCATATGCTTTATGCCAGATGATATATTAGGCATTGAAGACAGATGAATCAATCAGACATGACCCCTGTCATTCAGGAACTCACATGCTAAACTTTAAAATTGTCTTTGATTGTACCCTCTCTGTTGTCCTATAGAGTCACTCTCTCACTGTATCCCATGAATTTGTCTGAAAATCCTCCTGTGTTACCCTCCAAGTTCAACCTCATTTCCTATTGGCTGTACTTACACAAGCTTCTGAACTTATCTCTCTGTCTCTTGCCCTTATTAATTTCAGTACAGCCAACATACAACCATCAGTTTAATCTTCCTCAAATATACAGTGACAATCAACCATCAGTTTAATCTTCCCCAAATATACTAATTTTATGATGTTACTACTCTATTCAGGGACCTACAGTGACTCCATGTTGTAAAGGTCAAAATCCTCTATCTGACCTTCAAGATTTTAATAATCTATTGCTCTTCACATCCTTATCTGCATCCTAATGTTACCATTATCTTAAGTGTGCGCCCAAACAAACCAGGTCCTACTCTAGGGCCTTGGTTTGGGTTGTTTACCCACTTAAAATCCCTTTTCTTTCAATTCTTATCATCCTCCAAGGCCTTCCTTCAAGAAAGTGTCTCTGACAATTGCAATCTCTCCTCTGAATTTTGATACCATTTGTAGCCAGGATTCAGGAACTGATTTTTTTCTTAGTATGACTTTATTCCAAATTCCACACTATTTGATGTAAAGGAAGAATTTAAACATGTCTTAGTCCCTCATAAAATCTAGCATAGAAATGGGCACAATGCTGTTCAAAAAGCACATCCTGATTGCCTGGAGAAATGGATAAAAACCGAAATTGCTCTAAGAAATAGGATAAGACTTTCTAGAGAAGGCCAGAATGACCACAGTTATCGATAAGCAACCCATAGTCTGTGCAGGTAGACAGTCATCTATGGATGTTTGAATATGATCTTCACTGATTCATTAAAAATGCACTTTGATTGCATCCATAGCAAATGAGGATGAATGGGCTCTGCAGCCTGCCCAGTATTACAGCCTGTGTACCTGTACACTGTGAAGATCCTGTCCTTGTCTATAAACACCAGCCAAAATGACACTTGTGCTCCCCTTCCCTACAGAGACTGCTGTGAATGTTGCCTACTCCTGTAAGATATTTGACGATGAAATGGATGAAGTGTTCATCGTGGAAGGCAGGGATGATGAGACTGTTTGGAAAGAACTCAGGTATAGATGGGAGATTGGCCATAGCCAATCTGGACCCAAAATTTCCTATTCATCTCTTCCCCTAGTGTGGGTCCCACACCACCAGAAGGAACAGAGAAGACATGGAGGTGGGAAAAACAAAAACCTAAAATATTTGAAAAAATTTTGTGAGAAGCATTTGGGCTAAATAGGGCTGGAGTGTGGGGATGGAGAAGTGCAGCATGTGAATGGTCAGGGACCTATGGCAGTGGCAGGTCTTGAAAGGCTGTCACGTCTGAGGTCTTGGCTGGTGCTTTGTAGAGTTCCTCTAGCCACTTTGCCCACTTTCATCTGGGGACACATTTTCCTCCTAAATTCTGAAGCTTCAGGTCAGACTCTGACCACTACTCTTGGCTTTCAGGACAGCAAGGGACAAGATGAAACCCGAATCTCTCCTGGATTCAGACCCCATAAACATTTACCTCACCACGAAGCCCAAAATGCCTTTTGAAATACCTGAGGAGATGGCCAATGGCAACTATGGCTTGATCATCAATGGCTACAGTCTGGTGGGCAACACAGAGCTACACTCTGTTCTCTTCCTCCAAGGAACATTTTTCCTAGGTCCAACATACTTCAGGGAAATTTCAAGACCCCCTTTCCTATTCCATGAGTCACCCTATTCCCCTTCCCTTCAGGTGCCCTTGCCTGAAAGACTCCTTTCTCTAGCCTTCTTTAGGAAGAAGTAAATAAGGAAAGAGAAGCCAAGGGTGTCTTTCTTCCTTATCCAAATTCTTCTCTACTGATGTGGCCTGTCACTTAGGGGAAGAGGGAAGCAAGCAGAAACAGGTCTCCCAAGAAGTCACTTGGCCTCATAGCCCCGTCAACTGACTTGGCCCAATGAGAGGTCCTGACCAGTTTCCCACTGGAGGCTGAGTCAGATGGGAGGATGCCTAGAACTGACTTGGGTGCTCAGCCTCCCTTGGGGGGTGGAGTGCCTTGGGAACAGCTATGTCTGCCCTGTGAAGGACAGTAGAGTGTAGAGGGAAAGGGAACCATTTGGGAAGGTCATCCTCTGAGAGCTTTTTTGGGCAATCTGAAGAGTGAGTGTGTCCTGGTGCTGCAGGCCTATGCTCTAGAAGGGAACCTGGAGTTGGAACTGCTGCGAACAGCGTGCATGTGCAAGGGGGTGATCTGCTGCCGGATGACACCCCTTCAGAAGGCCCAGGTGGTAGAGCTGATGAAGAAGTACAAGAAGGTGGTGATACTGGCCATCGGGGATGGGGCCAATGACGTCAGCATGATCAAAGGCATGTGATGGGAGGGGAGCAGTTAGCTTAAAGCCATGGGCATGCCCCTTCCTTTCTCCATGAGCAAAATGGATTTGGGTGGTACTCTGTTGCTGGCTCACACTCCTGCCTCTCATATGTGTTACACATTTATACTGTTTTGCAACTCCATTCATACTCCTCTGTGCCTGCACTCCCACTTATTGACACATTCAGGCATCAGCCCATATCCACAGGCATGCACACACATTCAGATTCATGGACTTACACTATGAGTATAAGCATACACACAGATACACATGGCTCCCACGAGAACACATGCTTACGTTCACAGAACAACAGGCTGTTCAACTACCATACCTTCTTTCTGAGATGACATCAAGGCCCACAGAAAGGACCCCTAGGCAGGAGTCATAGTCTGTTTCTTTTCTGAAGGCTGTAGGCTGTGATGCCCAATTCAGAGATATTTTCTTTTCCAACTCCATGTTCCCAAGAGCTTGCCTTGCTCCCTTGGTGGGAGGAGAATAGGTGACTTACTGATCACTTTGGACCAGTAGAAGCAAATGGCTAAAATTTACTAGAGTAGGTTGTTGTTCTTTGTTGTGTTTTGTTTAGAGACAGCCTGTCACCCAGGCTGGAGTGCAGTGGCATGTTCATAGCTCACTGCAGCCTTCAACTCCTCGGCTCAAGCAATCCCGCTGCCTCTGCTTTCTGAGTAGCTGGGACTATAGGCACACACCACCATGCCCAGCTATTTTTTAATTATTAGTAGAGGTGAGGTCTCACTATTTTGCCCAGGCTGGTCTTAAACTTCTGGCCTCAAAACAGTTCCCCCCATCTCAGTCTTAAAGTGCTGGGATCACAGGCATGAGCCACCACGCCTGGCCAAATTTACTGGTTTCAATTTCACATGAATGTTGACCTACCAGCCTCCAGCAACATGTAGGTCTGTGAGATATGGACAAATCTACAGGTCCTATAGTCCAACCTCTCTGCCTATACAAGAAACTCTAACAGATATTCCAGCTTCAGCATTTTTTTTTTTTTTTTTTGAGACAGAGTCTCACCCTGTCACCAGGCGTCAGGATGGAGTGCAGTGGTGCAATCTTAGCTCACTGCAACCTTCGCCTCCCGGGTTCAAGCAATTCTTCTGCCTCAGCCTCCCAAGTAGCTGGGACGGACTACAGGCGTGTGCGACCACGTCCAGCTAATTTTTGTAGTTTTTAGTAGAGATGGGATTTCAGCATGTTGGCCAGGATGGTTTCAATCTCTTGACCTTGTGATCCGCCCGCCTTGGCCTCCCAAAGTGTTGGGATTACAGGCGTGAGCCACTGCACCCGGCCCCAGCTTCAGCTTTAATACTCGGAAGTATTCTTGCTCTCTTCCTCAGTTTCTAGACCCTAGGGGTATTTAGGAGTTTAGAGGTTTGAATTATCCCATCAAGCAGTGCAGCAAGCATATTCCAGATCAGTGAATTTAGTATATACCAGAAAAATGGCAAACTACCACAGACTTATTCAAACTTTTAGGAACTTCAGTCTTATCTTCCATCAAATATAATAATTGCTTTATCCAGAAGTTACCTTAGGCCTCTTGAAGTACTTGTTTCGACTAACAAAGTATGTACATCACATACAGTTGGATTTTAGCTCCTTAGGTAAACTCAGGTAATTAAATATTGTATTAGATTGGCATCCATCCTGTATCTTGAATTGATTTAAGTGGGTTCCATAGATAATAAGAAATTTTAACCTCAGCATCTGGACAGCAGGAAAGAGCCCAGATGTCTAGACTAGGGGCAAAGAGCATTCAGGACAGCTTCTAGTACTGGCCATGCCACACATTCTAGAGTAATGGTGTCCAAAACAAAGTACAGAAGAGGGGCCCAGTACAGTGGCTCATGCCTGTAGTCCCAGCACTTTGGGAGGTTGAGGCAAGAGGATCACCTGAGTCCAGGAGTTTGAGACCAGCTTGGGCAACACAGGGAGACAGTTATCTCTATAAAAACAAAAAAGTGCAGAAAAGGGAGCTGTTTTCCACTTTGTGAGGGAGGGGCAATCCACTAAGGAGAAAAGACTTCACTAAGTGACAGTTTGCACTGAGCTTAAAAGCATTTTCCAAATGTAAAATAAAGGGGTTTGTACAACATCATCTCAGCTTTCCCTTTACACTTCCCAGGCTGGGAGCCCAGCATACAAGCTCTCTGGCTGAGAAGTTTCTGGGGTTTTATTGCAGCTGCCCACATTGGGGTTGGCATCAGTGGCCATGAGGGGCTGCAGGCCATGCTCAACAGTGACTTCGCCTTCTCCCAGTTCCACTGTCTTCGGCGTCTACTCTTGGTCCATGGCCGCTGGTCTTACAATCGCATGTGCAAGTTTCTCAGCTACTTCTTTTATAAGAACTTCACCTTCACCCTGGTGCACTTCTGGTATGCCTTCTTCAATGGGTTCTCTGCACAGGTAGGTGATCAGTGGCAATCCCCACTCTGGTCAACTGGGTTTTCTCTAGTCATCTCTCACTTCACCTAACTCAGATCTTTTCTCGCCTTTAGAGACAAATGTATGACATGCTGCCATCCATTCATGAAGCCCTTCACCCCATGCTGACTCCATCTCCTAAACCTATAAAAATTTTAGATTTCCAAGCCATAACTGTTCCGGCCTGGCTCTGATTTGACCTAGACCCCCACCTTTAAAATAACTGTTCCGGCCTGGCTCTGATTTGGCCTTAACCCCCATCTTTAAACTTTCTTTTTATTTATGTATCTATTTATTTATTTGTTTGTTTTGTTTGTTTGTTTTTTGTTGTTTTTTTTTTTTTTTTTTGAGACGGAGTTTCACTCTTGCTACCCAGGCTGGAGTGCAATGGCGCGATCTGGGCTCACTGCAACCTCCGCCTCCTGGGTTCAGGCAATTCTCCTGCCTCAACCTCCTGAGTAACTGGGATTACAGGCACGCGCCACCATGCCCAGCTAATGTTTTTTGTATTTTTAGTAGAGACGGGGTTTCACCATGTTGACCAGGATGGTCTCGATCTCTTGACCTCATGATCCACCCGCCTCGGCCTCCCAAAGTGCTGGGATTACAGGCGCGAGCCACTGCGCCCGGCTATGTATCTATTTATATTGAGACAGGATCTTACTCTCTTGCTCAGGCTGGAGTACAGTGGTGTGATCATGGCCCACTGCAGCCTCAACTTCCTGGGCTCAGATGATTCTCCTACCTCAGCCTCCCAAGTAGCTGGGACTACAGGTGCGCACCACGACACCCTAATTTTTTGTACTTTTGGTAGAAATGAGGTTTCACCATGTTGCTCAAACTGGTCTTGAACTCCTGGGCTCAAGCAATCTGCCCACCTCAGCCTCCCAGAGTGCTGAGATTTCAGGTGTGAGCCACCACACCTGGCCTAAACTTTCCCTTATGCTATTTTCACTGATGTTGAGACTTTGAATTTCCAAACATATGTAATGGGAACAAATTCCTGGATCTCGGAGTTTTCTTAGCATCCAAAGTCATCTTTTTGGAACAGGCTAAGCCTCAAGGAACCTCTGAGTCATGCCAGATGGACCAATTACGGTGTTCACCCGTAGCCATATCCAGAAATGCAGCTTCATTTTGCTTCTCCTTCCCTACTCAAGACTGCCTGTATTCCTGACCCCAACACACACATAATTGTTACTTTGATGAATTAATTCCACATTAGAACGTGAAATCTCCTCCACCTTAGTAGGGAGAAGCGACGCCTGGATTTTCATGTTCTAAAAGGAGTCGCTTTTCCTATGAGAAGTTTTTCAGAAGCATCTCAAGGATTCCCAAGAGAAACAACCTCAGAAACAATTATCTTGGGAGAGTCCTACTTTTGTTGCCATAGACTCCAGGAACAACAGGCCAGTCAGCAAATAGTAGCAGTTTTGTATTTCCCCAAACCATAGCAAAGCCAGTCTGGTTTGTGGGAGGCGTATGTGTCTGCATGTGTTGCTGCTGACCTCTTGTGGCTAGTAAAGAAAAGAGCCTTCTCTAGGCCCCAGGATCGAGTGTCCCGCTAGGGAAGGGTCATTGGGTTTATTTTGCTTGTCAACATTAGGAAGTATGCAGTGCTACAGAAGCCACTGAATGCCACTAAGCAAGTAAAGTGTCCAAACGCTGGGCACAGTGGCTCATGCCTGTGATTCCAACACTTTGGAAGGCCGAGGTGGGTGGATTACCTGAGGTCAGGAGTTTGACACCAGCCTGGCCAACATGGCAAAACCACGGCTCTACAAAAAAATGCAAAAATTAGCTGGGCATGGTGGTGGGCGCCAGTAGTCTCAGCTACTCATGAGGCTGAGAATTGCTTGAACCCAGGAGGCAGAGGTTGTAGTGAGCTGAGATCATGTCACTGCACTCCAGCCTGGGTGACAGAGCAAGACTCCATCTCAAAAAAAAAAGGTTTACCTGCTTAGGAGTGTAGGGGTACAGCTAGCATTCCCTAGCAATTACTCTGGGTCCTTTCTGTGCAGTGAGGGGCTGTATACATTATGGTGGGATTGGTCCAGATCCACCTTGAAAGTGTGATGTGGCCTTACTCTATCCTAGGACCCAGGGTCCTGATAAAGTAGGATCAAGTAGAGACTGGGGTCAACATTCTCAGTCAGGTTTCTCCTGCTGTAGGTTAATGTGGGGGATTGAGGGATGAGGGTGGCTATCTTGGACCTGGAAGGTGGAGCTGGGACTGTAGAGAAGATAGGAGCCTACAAAATCTCCTTGGTATTCTTCCAGACAGTTTATGAGACCTGGTTTATCACATGCTACAATCTGGTCTACACTTCCCTCCCTGTCCTGGGCATGAGTCTGTTTGATCAGGTAAGATCCAGCTGCAAGCCCCTAGTCAGAGTTGAAGCCCCTGGGCCCTTGAGGAATATCCCTAAGAATGAAGAATACAGCAAGAGCTGGGCTCTACGAAATCCATTGTAAAGGGAATAATTTCCAGAGTGGGGAAAGGAGCTCATCACCTAGATAAGTATCATGAGATAAAAAAAATTCTCCTCAACAGAGAGTAATTCTCAGTTTTAGAAAGCCAAGTTTTCCTGTATCAATTTTATCTTTGTAGAGAGAAACATGGAAATTGTGCTGTACAGTAAATTCAGTATATATAAAAGTAATTAAAATATGTTTAGGAAATAAAAAAGCAAAATATGAATGGAAAAAAATAAAGAAAACAGAGTTATTGGGGTAGGACTGGGTAATGTTTGGAACTTCAAAAAGGAGAGACTCCTTCAGGGATAATGAGGATGAGATAAGCCAATGCAGGAACACCAGGCATGGGAGTATGAATGTGATAGTTTATATCATAAGGAGCCAGACTAAGGGATACCATCTGTCCCTGTCAGAAATTCCCTGGGCATTGAGGGTCCTGGTTCCCTACCTCTGTCTTCTACCCCAACCTTTAGTCCTGGGCACATGGTGTAGAAAATGAGTCTTCAAAAAGGAATAAAGTAGCTGAAATAGGACATCAAGAGATCATGGCTGTTGGTCTCCACAGGAAATGGCTCTAAAGGAAATTCTCCAGGAAGTAACTCCTAACCTCAGAACAACAAGAGGGATGGGTTTTATTACTCAATAGTCCATCCAGCTTCAGTGGCCTAATTCTAGGGATCTACCTCTGAAACCAGCCCCAGGCTTTGTTAATTTTTTTACCTTCAGTTCACCAGTAGCTATGGGAGTGGAAGAAACATCACAGAACATGCACACCTCTAAAAGACTAAGTGGTCCCCATTGGTGTCCATTTCTCCCACACTGACTTTTGACATAAAGAATATTCAACTATGGCTGGGCATGGTGGCTCACATCTGTAATCCCAGCACTATGGGAGGCCAAGGTGGGTGGATCACTTGAAGTCATGAGTTTGAGACCAGCCTGGCCAATGTGGCAAAACCCCATCTCCACTAAAAATATAAAAATTAGCCGGGTGTGGTGGCGGACACCTCCAGCTACTCAGGAATCTGAGACACGAGAATTGCTTGAACCTCAGAAGCGGTGGCTGCAGTAAGCCAAGATGGTGCCACTGTACTCCAGTCTGGGTGATAGTGTAAAACTGTAACTAAAAAAAAAAAGATATTCAACTGAAAGAAGACTTATACCTGGGGACTTATATCCCAGCTGCCTCCCCCATCCCAAGCTCTAGTCCTCCCTCCCAGCTACCCACAAGCCTAGTTGCCCCCTTTCATAACTCCCCATTTCTAACTCTCTCCAAGTCTTTCCAAGCATTCTGACCTTCTCCCAGCTTCCTTCCACTACCCAGATCCTTGCCTAAACAGTAGGACTTCAGATAGGGCCTGTAGTCACTGTTCAGTTCTCTGGTTCCACTTCTCAAGTAATCCATAAGGAAGCTCCAGGCAGCCTGGCAGCAGACTCAGTGAGAGGAGAAGCCTCTACCCTGTTGAAGATGGGACCTTCTATGGAGAGACCCTGAGCCTTCTTCCTTACCCTCTGATGCTTCCAGGATGTGAATGACACATGGAGCCTCCATTTCCCAGAGCTGTATGAGCCAGGCCAGGACAACCTCTATTTCAACAAGAAGGAATTTGTGAAGTGTTTAATGCACGGGATCTACAGTTCCTTCGTGTTATTCTTTGTCCCCATGGGGACTTTTTACAATACAGAACGAAATGATGGCAAGGATATCTCCAACTGCCAGTCCTTCTCCCTGGTGGTGCAGACCTCCTTGATCTGGGTGGTCACAATGCAGGTGTGGCCAGTGGCAGTGGGGGTAAGGGGATTGGATGGGGGCCTGTCTGAAAGAGTGGGAGGAATAGAGGGAGGGAGTGTGGGAAGGGAGCAACCTTCATTGCAGAATTGGAGGAGGGAGGTTGCTGACAGGTCCCAGGTTACAGACTATTACACATAAGAGGGTATTTTTCAGATTGCTTTGAGGACAACCTACTGGACAATAATAAACCACATCTTCATCTGGGGTAGCCTGGGTCTCTACTTTTGCATGTCATTATTCCTGTACAGCGATGGCTTGTGCCTGGCGTTCCCTGACGTCTTCCAATTCCTAGGTAAGGCCCTGCCCGGTGTGTGGTGGGTGAGGAATCAGGTATATTCATTTAGTAAATGTTTACCGAGAAGCCATTACCATGTGCTAGGACAGAGATATAAATAAGACATGGTCTCAGCCCTAAAAGGACACAAAATCTAGCTAGGGAAATAAGTTACCTTATTCAGGCTTCCAAGATATTTTCAAAAGTTGTATGTGATTAGCTTTTTACCAGCATCCTAAGAAGTAGGCAGTGCAATAATTATTAGAGCCGTTTTAGACACTGGAGGGTGTTTTCAAATTACGGGACTCAAATCTAGGTTTCCTGGTTCCAGTTCAATATCCTTTATGCTGTGGCATATTGCCTTATTGTCTCCCATATTATTTTTCCCTCTCTCTCATCTCCACTCTGCTGAAGACAAAATATAGAGAGTAGATATGTAGTTGTAGTTGGCTCTCATCTTTTTTTTTTTCATTTGTTGAGACTCTGTTGCTCTGTCTCTGTCACCCTGGCTGGAGTGCAGTGGTGCAATCCTGGCTCACTGCAACCTCTGCCTCCTGGGTTTAAGCAATTCTCATGCCTCAGCCTCCCCACTAGCTGAGACTACAGCCATGCACCACCATGCACTGCTAATTTTCTTGTATTTTTGGTAGAAGCATGATTTTTCTATGTTGGCCAGGCTTGTCTCAAACTCCTGGCCTAAAGCAAGGGCCCGCCTGGGGCTCCCAAAGTGCTAGGATTACAAGCATGAGCCACCGTGCCACCGCACCCACCTGACCTTTTATCGGGACATTCATTTTTCTCCTGCAAAGCTTTCTCTTTTTTCCTTTTTCCTTTTTTTATTTTATTTTTTACTTTTTAAATTTTTCATTGTTTTTTTGTTAGTTTGTTTTCTTGTTTGTTTCCTCCTCTAAAACTTTCTTTCCCATTTTTGGATCCAGGCCAGTGCTCTAGGATTCCCTCATAATGAAATCCTGCTCCCCTATCCTGCCCTATCCTGCCCTGCCTTTAGAGGGAGATAGAGGCACATGGATTCACAGTGACTTTGGTTGGGCAAAGGACCCAACCTGCAATTCTTTTGTATTTATATTATTTCTCAGGAGCCTAGACTAACTCCACATTAATAACTTCCTTCTTTGGACTAGAGAGGTGTCTAAGTTTTGGCTAGTAACTCCCACCCCTGGTCCCACTCCTGTTCCCCAGGCTCTGTTTCAGCCTTTCCCCTCCTTGCTCACTGTTTATAGGTGTGGTCAGGAACACTCTGAACCAGCCGCAAACGCTGCTGAGCATTATCCTCAGCGTGGTCCTCTGTATGTTGCCTATGATTGGGTACCAATTTCTTAAACCACTATTCTGGCCTATCAGCGTGGACAAGGTGAGTGGAACAGAGAATCTACTCAGATATAATTCATGACCTTCTTTTGCCTTTGCCTCTGTGGATGAAAACCCTATCCCCATGCTCTTGCTTTAGGTTTTTGACAGAATTCAAGCATGCAGACTTCCACAGCAAACCCCAGCCAAGACCAGACTGAAACAATCGAGCTCTCGACGTTCTGCCTATGCATTCTCCCATCAACATGGCTTTGGGGCCCTCATCACTTCTGGCAAGACAATGAAGTCCAGGATGTCCAAGAAAAACACCCTTTTTCAAAAAGGTAGAGGCCCTAGGGAAATTCCAAAGGAGGCAGTCAGTGCTCTTCCTCATATTCATGCAACTTAGTAAGGAAGGATTAGAGTCCCTGGGAAATAAGCATAAGCCTGCTCCTTCGCTCTCATTAGGAACTAAGCCTCCTAATTGTCCAGAAGGCTATGCCCAGGTAAGGTGAGGAGAGGTAAGGAAAGAGCCCCCAGAGATCTGCCAGAGTTGCAGCATTTCAAGAAAAAGACAAAAAAAAAAAAAAAAAAAAAAAACAAAGTCAGGCCCACCTTCCACCATCTCTTGCAAGTTACAATCCAGACAAGCATATATAGAAGTAGTGGATGAAGAGGGACAGGATGGGGAAGGGAAAAGAAGATGGGACCTAAGAATTTTACTTCGGGCCCTGACTCCTATACTCTGAGCAAGCATAAACTTTCCCAGGGCCCTACACGAACATATTCCCGTCCAGGCATCCTTCTCAGGTTTACCTGGGAGATTCAGGGTAAGTCGTTTGCTGGCCCTGGGTAGCAAAAGGAGGAGGCATCTGTGCAGAGTTGGTCTTAAGAAGCTGAAAGAGGGTTTCTGGACCATAAGTAAGTAAAAAGAAATGGAGGTGGTTCCTGCCTGGATAAGACAACTCAAGGTTTTGCCTTTTTGTGCTCTCTGTGACTTCTCTGACTCAAGAGCTGATACCTGCTCAGGCCTCAGAACTGAGAAGGTGATATTGCAGGAGATTTTTAAGATTCTTTTCTTAAGGAGACATAAGCCATAATTGGTGAGCATATGTCCTTATTCCATAAAATTATTTTGAGAAGAAATTGTATGTACTTAAAAAATTGTTTCTTAGGAGTTTAGAATTGGAGTAATAAATTGCTTATTTTGAAGCAGAGAGATGTGTATGGTCTGTTGGGACCCCAGTGACAATAATATAATCTGAGCAATATCTTTGGTCCAGACTCCCACCAACTTCCTCCTTCAGATTAGACCAATACTTCTCCTTTCCCCCCCTTTTTTTCTCCTTTTTCAGCCCCCCTCCACTTTTCGTTCCCCTCTTGCTAAACTCTAATTTGGCCTCAGTATGACCACATCTTTTGCCAATATGGCTCTCTCCCTTCGCATACCTTAAGTATCGTTTCTTAGGTTCTTTGCTCATCTTTCTCTGTACCCTTTTCCTGAATGACTTCATCCAGACTCTTGACTTCATTTACCAATAGAAAGAAGATTCACATGGCGGGGCATGGTGGCTCATGCCTGTAATTCTAGGACTTTGAGAGGCCAAGGTGGGTGGATTACCTGAAGTCTGGAGTTCAAGACTGCCTGACCAACATGGAGAAACCCCATCTCTACTAAAAATACAAAATAAGCTGTGTGTGGTGGTGGACACCTGTAATCCCAGCTACTCGGGAGTCTGAGGCAGGAGAATCACTTGAACCCGGGAGGTGGAGGTTGTAGTGAGCCGAGATCTTGCCATTGCACTCCACCCTGGGCAACAAGACTGAAACTCTGTCTCAAAAAAGAAAAAAAAGAAAGAAGATTCATAGTCTCTATCCCAGATCTCCCTGCTAAGGCCCAGATCCACATATTAAACTAACTCCCAGACCTTTCACTTTGTCACACCTCCAGAAACTTAACACTCAACCTGTACTAATCATTTTCCCTCCCACTTTTACACCAGGATGCCACCACCACCATCTGAGTCACCCGAGGCCAAATTATGAGAATCATCCTATACCTCTTCCTTTAGCTCAATGTCCAGTGGTCAAGTTATATAAATTCTGCATCCTTATTAATTCTTGTTTCCAGCTCCCTCCATTATTACTACCATTGCCCTTGCTCAGATTTCATCACCTTGTATCTGGATTATGGCATAAAATCTCCCAACTCAGCTCCCTGGTTCTCCCCTTTGTTTTTGTTTGTTTCTCTGTTTTTGAGATGGAGTTTCACTCTCGTTGCCCAGGCTGGAGTGCAGTGGCGGTGATCTAGGCTTACTGCAACCTCCATCTCCCAGGTTCAAGCGATTTTCCTGCCTCCACCTCCTTGGTTCTCCCCTTTCTAAAGCATCAATAATATTATTTTAAGAGTAATCTTTCTGGAAAACAAATTTGATCATGTCAAGCCTCAGTTTAGCATCCTTTAAGGAAATCTCATGCTTTCTGGATCCTGTTAAAATTTGGACTTTTTACTATTGGGCCCTCGCTAGCCTTGTCTTCCACCGCTCCCCATCTGCATGCACTCCAGTCATGATGTTTCTAGTCTTCATGTCATCAAACACACTGGTCTCATATATTAAAGTGCTTTCCCCCACAACCATATTCATCTAGTGAACCCCTCATCACCTTCAAAACTCAGAGTTGTTGGAACTAGACAGTGATGGTTGAACAATACTGTCAAAGTAGTAATTGCCACTGAATTGTACATTTTTAAATGGTTGATTTTATGTTATGTGAAGTTCATTTCAACTTTTTTAAAACAGCTCAGATTAAGCATTGTCTCTTCCAAGAGCTTTTCCTAATTCCTCATTGTGATTCATTATTCCTGTCCTGTTTGTTTCTCTCCCTCTTTCTTTTGTCTAGATAATGTATGTCTGCTCTTAATTCTCAGCTTGCAGTATTTCATCTAGGAGCCTTCCCTGAGACCACATCCTCCTCTTCTGAGTTGGTTGCCTCTTTGTTGCATGAGACCCATCTAAGTGCTAGGCTATGAATAATCTTGAAGGCAAGAATTTTATGTCACTTTTTTATTCCCATCAACCAGAAAAATCCCAGCACTTAGATTGTTAATGTTTTTCTTGTTGTTGTTGTTGTTTGAGATGGAGTCTCACTCTGTTGCCCAGGCTGGAGTACAGTGGTAGGATCTCGGCTCACTGCAACCTCTGCCTCCTGAGTTCAAGCAATTCTTGTGCCTCAGCCTTCTGAGTAGCTGGGATTACAGGCGCATGCCACCATGCCTGGCTGATTTTTGTATTTTTAGTAGAGACAGGGTTTCACCATGTTTTGAACTCCTGACTTCAGGTAATCTGCCTGCCTCAGCCTCCCAAAGTGCTGGGATTACAGGTGTAAGCCACCGTGCCTGGCTGTGATTATTAATATTTTTCAATGAACAAGTGGATGAACAAAATCTACTACCTTTTATTTTTCCTAAACTTGCTTCTTACCCTTTCCTTTCTAAATGAATCTCATCCTTCTGTATCTAAGTTCCAGCTATACTTCAGGGGCCTCTTTTTATGAAACATAGTTACTTATGGTCTCCCCTCTAAGGCATCTGTAAAAATACAGTTTGGACCAGTAATATCTCCCAAAGCCCCTGAACAATCACTACCCTCTCCTGGTGGTTTATATGCATTCCAGGAGATTTGAATCTCAGTCTCTGCTAAGGATCCAAGAAAGTAAATGCGACATTCCAAAATGTGGTGTGAGATGGCCATGCAAGACTTGCCAAAGAAAGGGGGGTGTGGATTATAAAAAACAAGTTTACAACTCTTAGTTGCTGACCCACCTTAAGAAAAGGAGCAGAAATGCAGACAGTAGAGAGAGGTCTTTGGAGAGAATTGTTAGTGGGCTTTAAGGACTTCCCCTCAGTTCAGTTTAAGTTGAGAAGACTTTAAGGAAATTATTTGGTGAGAGTAATATGATTAACGTGTCTGGGAGACACAAAGGACTGATACCTACCTCATACCTGGAAAATCTAAAACAGCAGTCTGTTCTGCGGCAGAGCAAAAAGTGGCTATGGTGAAATTGGCCTGTGTTCCCATTTACAGGCAAGGGATGCATGAGTGCTACCCACAGACCAGATATAGGCCATGTCGTAATTATCTGAAAGTTTGAGGAAACTTCAGCAGGAAGAAGTAGAGGATATGCTGTCAAATGCTAGTGGATTTATAATAAGATAGAAGGAAGGGGCATGAGGTAAATTTTCTTTATCTCAATTCTGGAGGTGGTTACATTTGTCAAAATTGATTGACCTGTACACTTAAAATTTATACATTTTACTTTATGTAAGCTATATCTCAATAAAGTTCAGTTTTGTAATGCCTAGAGATTTTTAATGGAGTTGTAAGTGACCAACTACGGTAGCTGAATTCACCCACATTGAAGTAACTAGCTATAGGAGAGATATCTCCACCAGTGGGAAGAGAATTTCTGAAGAACCTACAAAAGGACCTGTTGAAATAGAGTCAGCTTTAGATATCTGCCAGGTCTTTTTTTTTTTTTTTTTTTTTTTTTGAGATGGAATCTTACTCTGTCACCCAGGCTGGAGTGCAGTGGCGCCATCTTGGCTCACTGCAACCTCTGCCTCCTGGGTTCCAACAATTCTGCCTCCACCTCCCAAGTAGCTGGGATTACAGGCATTTAGTAGAGACAGGTTTTCACCATGTTAGCCAGGCTGGCCTCAAACTCCTAGCCTCAAGTGTTCTACCTGCCGCAGCCTCCCAGAGTACTGGGGTTATAGGCATGAGCCACTATGCCTGACTTACCTGCCAAGCCTTAAAATTAGTTCACAACAGTATTAGTCAAGTAAAGACTTTCTTCATCTCATCTCTCTCCTGTCCTGCTCAAGCCCTGGAGAAAAAAAGAATTAGGAAGCTGAAGGAGGAGGAGAGGTAAGTAGAAATACAGATATCTACAAAGTTCACTGAACCTAGCCACAGGCAACAGAGCCAAGCTGAAAGATAAGGAAAAGCATTAATTATAAAGGTTGAAGTTTTTAAAAATTATTTCATTAAATCACCTTAACTACTAAAGTGAAACTTAAAAGTGACAAGTACTGGTTGCTACTAAAAAGGACCATTCACTAAGTACATTTTGCATCAGTACTTGTTCCTTCACATTGTACTTTTATGAGAGACAACTTCTTTCTGTAAACCTCATGAACCAACCTCTGTTAGCATCCAGCTTTTCTTCTGTAACTTCCTCACCTCTCTCAGCCTTCATAGAATTGAAGAGAGTTAGGGCCTTGCTCTGGATTAGACTTTGGCTTAAGGGAATGTTGTGGCTGGTCTGAGCTTCTGTACAGACCACTCAAACTTGCTCTGTATTGGCAATAAGGCTGTTTTGCTTTTTTATTTGTGTGTTCATTGGAATAGCACTTTAAATTTCCTTCAAGAACTTTTCCTTTGCATTCACAACCTGGCTAACTGGTGTAAGAGGCCTAGCTTTCAGCCTATCTTAGCTTTTGACATACCTTCCTCAATAATCTTAATCATTTCTAGCTCTTTATTTCAGTTGAGAGACATGTGACTCTTCCTTTCACTTGAAGATTTAGAGGCCATTTAGGTTATTAATTGGCCTGATTTCAATATTTTTGTCTCTCAAAGAATAGGGAGGCCTGAGGAGAGGGAGAGACAGGGGAATGACTGGTTGGTGGAACAGTCAGAACATACATTTATTAAATTTGCTATCTTCTATGGGCACAGTTCATGGTGCCCTAAAGAAATAACATAGTAACATCAAAGATCACTGATCACCGTAACAGATGTAATACTAATGAAAAAGTTTGAAATATTGCAAGGATCACCAAAATGTGATACAGAGACACAAAGTGAGCATATGCTTTTGGAAAAATGACACTGATAGACTTGCTCAATTCAGGGTTCCCACACACCTTCAATTTGTAAAAAAAAAAAAATGCAGTATCTGTGAAATGCAACAGAGCAAAGCACGATAAAACGAAGCATGCCTATACTTGGTATGTGGTAGTCAGAGAAGGCCTTTCTGAGGAAGTGACATGTGAAATGAGATCTAAAAGACTAGATGGATCTAGTCCTGCAAACAACTGGTGGAAAGGCATTTCAAAGTAAAATGCTAGTGTAAAGTTCCTGAGGTAAGAGCAAGCTTTGTAAGTAAGAAAAAGAAGCCTAATGTGGACGAAACATTGTAAGCAAAGGACAGAGTAGTTAGATAAAAACCACAGGGAGCAGTGGAGAGTTTTAAAGCCCATTTCAAAAGATTGCTCACACTACTATATGGAGAATAAGAGTGCAAACGTGACCTGGACACAGTGGCTCATGCCTATAACACCAGCACTTTGGGAGGCCGAGGCGGGCAGATTGAGGTCAGGAGCTCAAGACCAGCCTGCCCAACATGGTGAAATGCCCTCTCTACTAAAAATACAAAAAGTAGCCGAGTGTGGTAGCAAATGCCTATAATCCCAGCTGCTCTGGAGGCTGAGACCGGAGAATGTCTTGAACACAGGAGGCGGAGGTTGCAGTGAGACAAGACTGGAGTACAGTGGTGCCATCTTGGCTCATTGCAACATGTGCCTCCCAGGTTCAAGCGATTCTTCTGCCTCAGCCTCCCTAATAGCTGGGACCACAGGCACATGCCACCACACCCGGCTAATTTTTTGTCTTTTTAGTAGAGATGGGATTTCACTATGTTGGCCAGGCTGGTCTCAAACTCCTGGCCCCAAATGATCTGCCTGCCTCTGCCTCCCAGAGTGCACTGCCCGGTGATGGTCATATTTGTACCACTTAACTTCACTACCCCCAGCCACAACTGTCCTAGAGTGGGTATATAACCAGATAGAGCTTCTTTCTCTGGGACTCAGGATTAGAGCTGTGAAAAACTAAGTCAGTGATGAAGTCAGGAGTTAAAAGTTTGCGTAGTTTTAGGAAGTGGGACCTCCACTTTGAAGTGGCCATGATTTGCTATAAGAGGATAAGTGAGCCAAGTTTTCTAGTCTATAAAGAGAAGAATGAAGAAGATGACCAAAGAGAAAGAGACAAGACACTAGTCCATCCCCATAGAAAGCCTCATGAGGGACTTTCTGAAGTTAGGTTCTGCGAGGACATCTTTTTACCTAAACTAGATTGAGGGTATTTTTTATTATTATTTTTTGAGACGGAGTCTTGCTCTGTTGTCCAGGCTGGAGTGCAGTGGCATGATCTCAGCTCACTGCAAACTCCACCTCCCGGGTTCAAGCCATTCTTTTGCCTCAGCCTCCCAAGTAGCTGGGATTACAGGTGTGTACCGCCGCACCTGGGCTAACTTTTGTATTTTTAGTAGAGACGGGATTTCACCATGTTGGCCAGGCTGATCTTGAACTCCTGAACTCAAGTAATCCACCCACTTTGGCCTCCAAAAGTGGTGAGATTACAGGTGTGAGCCACCTGCGCCCAGCCAAGAATATTTTATTCTCTGTTGCCAATAGCAAAAACACAGAGGCAGTTCCAATGTACACAAGTTAGGTTCACACTTGTCCCTTTCAACAGCATGTCAGAAACAGGGAGAGGTCACAGTGCCGTCCCACTTATCTTGCACCCTTTTCTTTAAGAACTCATGGGGGAAGTAATCTAAGCTTATTTGCCCCTGCCAGAAATAGAGAAAAACAAGGAACACTGCCCTAGCCCCAACATATCCCTGTGATTCTAGCTCCAAATCTTCTACCAAATCTTCTAAGATTCATGCAAAATGTTTTGGAAAATACACATCATTTGAAGGATCCTGGGAGTCATTCAAGACTATTTGCTCTACTTTACCCCGCCCACCCCCATGACACATTCAGTTAATCACTCAGTTCTACAGATTTCTATACCCTAAATCACCCTTGAATCTATTTCCTCTTATCTAAGCCTTCAGCCACTGCCCTAATTCAGACTCTCTCAGTTCTCATCATAATTACCAATCTCCTAACTGATCTCCTTGCCTTCCTCTAATTCAATATCCACACTCCTACTAAAGTGAGATTTCTAAAGCTCAGATCTGTTCAAATCACTCTCCTGCTTGAAATAATAGTGTCAACAGCCTTCAGAATAAAATCCAAACTCAGCCAGGCATGGTGGCTCATGCCGTAATCCCAGCACTTTGGGAGCCCGAGACAGGCGGGTTCATTTGAGGTCAGGAGTCCAAGACCAACCTGGCCAACATGGTGAAACTCTGTCTCTGCTAAAAATACAAAATTCACTGGGCGTGGTAGCATGCATCTGTAATCCCAGTTTCTCCAGAGGCTGAGGCAGAAGAATCACTTGAGCCCGAGAGGCAGAGGTGGCAGTGAACCGAGATGGCACCACTGCACTCCATCCGGGGCAACAGAGCGAGACTCCGTCTCAATGAAATAAAATAAAATCCAAATTCCCAAACATGCATATAAGGCCCTTCTTAATCTCACTGCTGCTTCCTCCTACACTTTGCCCATACTTAACTAACACCCATACTACTTGAGTTTCCCTAAGGCATCATGCTTTCTTTGTTTTTATTGTTTCATTATTATTATTTTTATTTTTGAGACAGCGTTTCATTCTTGTTGCCCAGGCTGGAGTGCAATGGCACGATCTCAGCTCACTGCAGCCTCCACCTCCCGGATTCAAGCAATTCTGCCTCAGCCTCCCAAGTAGTTGGAATTACAGGCATGTGCCACCATGCCTGCCTAATTTTTTATTTTTAGTAGAGATGGGGTTTCACCATGTTGGTCAGGCTGGTCTCAAACTCCTGACCTCAGGTGATCCACCTACCTTGGCCTCCCAAAGTCTTGGGATTACAAGTGTGAGCCCCCGAGACTGGCCTCTTTGTTTGAGATGGACTTTAGATCTTGTTGCCCAGGCTGAAGTGCAATGGTGCAATCTCAGCTCACTGCAACCTCTACCTCCCAGGCTCAACCAATTCTTCTGCCTCAGCCTCCTGAGTAGATGGGATTACAGGCACCCGCCAGCATGCCCAACTAATTTTTTTATTTTTGGTAGAGATGAGGTTCACCATGTTGGCCAGGCTAGTCTTGAACTCCTGACCTCAGGTGATCCACTCCCCTTGGCCACCCAAAGTGCTGGGGTTACAGGTATGAGCCACTACACCCGGGCAGCATCATGCTTTCTTATGTCTCTGTGTTTTTGTATATTCTTTGATTTGCAAGTGTCTGGAAAACTTAAGAAAGACTTTTAAATGGGTGTCCTTTTAATGGAATGTTGAGTGCTGTTAAGGATCCTTGGGAATTGTTTGTTTATATTAGTGGTGAGAGCTTTTGATTTCCTTTGACTATGTTCCTATTTTATAAGTAAGCTATTTTCTAACTTGTTGGAGTTAGAATTTGACTTTAGAATACTGACACAAATAATGCAAAAGATTTCCTGCCTGTAACAATGCAAATGATTCCTGTTCTGGGTGATGCAAATGAATTTTGTCCATTAGAGAACAGACATTTCTTTCTTTTTTTTTTGAGACGGAGTTTCGCTGTTGTTACCCAGGCTGGAGTGCAATGGCGCAATCTCGGCTCATCGCAACCTCCGCCTCCTGGGTTCAGGCAATTCTCCTGCCTCAGCCTCCTGAGTAGCTGGGATTACAGGCACGCGCCACCATGCCCAGCTAATGTTTTGTATTTTTAGTAGAGACGGGGTTTCACCATGTTGACCAGGATGGTCTCGATCTCTTGACCTCGTGATCCACCCGCCTCGGCCTCCCAAAGTGCTGGGATTACAGGCGTGAGCCACTGCGCCCGGCCCAGACATTTATTTCTAAGTCAAATCTTCATTTGAACAGGTTTTAATATCTTACTGGTTCCCTCATTAATTAGTAAGTTTAATAAAACCTTTGAAATATGTTCATTGTATATTTATATGAGGCTCTGCCAGGCGCAGTGCCTGATGCCTGTAATCCCAGCACTTTAGGAGGCAGAGGAGGGTGAATTGCTTGAGCTCAGGAGTTCAAGACCAGCTGGGTAACATGGTGAAACCCTGTCTTTACTAAAAATACAAAAATTACCCAGGTGTGGTGGTGCATACCTTAGTCTCAGCTACTCTGGAGGCTGAGATGGGAGGATCGCTGGAGTCCAGGAAATTGAGGCTGCAGTGAGCCATGATTGCACCACTGCACTCCGGCCTGGGTAACAGAGACCCTGTCTCAAAAAATAAAAATACTTGCATAAGGCTCATTATTTTACCTTTTCGAAAGTTATTCTTTAGCATAAACAACAGGAAGTAACCCACACTCACTGAAGCCAAAAATGAGATTCCTATGGTTAGAAGGATGTATCACGATCCTGGGGAAGGAATCCAGCTGGGTAGGCCTCCGAAAGAAGTGAAACCAGCTGCTGGAAGGTCCCAAGAACCTAGGGAGTAGTCTCTTTGTGTCTAGACTTACTCCTCTGTGTGCAGCGGACTGATCTTCCTTCTCAGCAAACTGTTTTTCAATGCTGTTATAAGTAAAATTTTGATGCTGCAAAAGAAATAGCACTTGAAGATAAATCCTCTCAGAAAGGCAGTTTACTTCTATAGAAGGGTGTGGCTCATGGATGGAGCAATGGTGACCACACATTTGGACAAGGGAGGAAAAGGGTACTTTTTCCTGACAGGGGTCGCCCCTACTGCTGTGTCATTCCCCTATTGGCTAGGGTTAGACCGCACAAGCTAGACTAATCCCAATTGGCTGTTTTAAAGAGGGCAGGGGTCTGAGCTGGAGTGGCGGGGTGGGTGGTTTGGCAGGAAGGATGGTTACAGGATGGTCAGAGCAGGTAGCCAGGGGTGACCTAGGTCAAAGCAGGTGACTGGAGCAGATGACTGGAGCAGGTGACTGAAGCAGGTGACCGGGATGAGTCAGGATGGAGCCAGGGGCCGGGGGAACACATGTGAACTACTGATTAGAATCAGTGGAGAAATTGTTTACTGGAACTACAAGGAAGTTAAACTTTAAAATGGAGGACAAATAACTGAACATAATGACATAGTGATTCTTTGAAGAGAAATTTAGAACTCATTGTATCCAAAAATGCTGCTCAGGCCAAATGGGCAAGTAGAAGATGGCTACCGCATAGCTCCTAAATTACCCTGTTAAGTCCAATTTAAGTCTGAGCAGAGATGTAGCTCTTTGTCCCCCGATTCCAAATTCTCGGATAAGTAATTCTAATTGGCCTGGCTTGGGTTAAGTGCCCAATCTAGACCATTTAACTGGGGGATCACACTGTGCAAACAGTCTGATCTCATTGGTTCCCCACTGGCAATGCTAGCCCTCTCCACCTACACCCTTACTTAAGCCCTCACAACTTTATTTCCAACATTCATATTTGATCCTGTCATTCCTGCCTCCACAATAAGGCCCTTTCTCCCAACTCCTTAGTAGTCATAGGCACTTCATCACTAAATCCTGACCGGCTCTCCTTGGCTCTCTCCATTGCCTACCACACCTCTCAAATGACACACATCAGTCATTTTGCCCCTCAGTTCTTTTGCACATGCCAATTCTTCCTTTACCTCCCGCTCATTATTCAAAACTCAGCTCACACCACTTCTGTGAAGCCTAAGGATGTGTTACATATCATGACATCTATCTGTTTCCTTGACTGTGAGCCCCATCTCTCTTTCAGTGAGTTTGGAACCTAGAACAGAGTCTGCTTAGTGGGTGATATGGTTTTATTAGTGAGATCTGAGTTACCCCAAGTTACCGGCAGCCTATCCTTATGGGTCTGTAACAACTTTAGTCCTTGCTTCCTCAGAAAGAAAGAATTCAACTGTGGGGCATAAAGCAGAAAAAGAGACCAAGGCAAGTTCCAGAGCAGGAATGGAAGTTTATTTAAAAGGCCTTAGAGGCCAGGCATGGTGGCTCACACCTGTAATTCCAGAACTTTGGGAAGCTGAGGCAGGTAGGCAGATCACTTGAGGTCAGGAATTCAAGACCAGCCTGGCCAAGATGGTGAAACCCCATCTCTACTAAAAATACAAAAATTAGCCGGGCATGGTGGTGGGCACCTGTAATCCCAGCTGCTTAGGAGGCAGAGGTGGAGGTGGAGAATTGCTTGAAGCTGGGAGGGGCGGAGGTTCAGTGAGCCAAGATCACGCCACTGCACTCCAGCCTGGGCTACAGAGCGAGACTCTGCCTCAAAAAAAAAAAAAAAAGCCTTAGAACAGGAAAGAAAGGAATGTGTGCTTGGAAGAGACCTGAATGGGCACATGAAGGTTAAAGAGAGAAGGTCAAGTGGCTAACCATCATCCTAAGACTATTTTTTTTTTTTTTTGAGACGGAGTCTCGCTCTGTCGCCCAGGCTGGAGTGCAATGGCACCATCTCAGCTCACTGCAACTTCTACCTCCTGAGTTCAAGCAATTCTCCTGCCTCAGCCTCCCAAGTAGCTGGGATTATAGATGCCTGCCACCATGCCCAGCTAATTTCTGTATTTTTAGTAGAGTTAGGGTTTCACTGTGTTGGCCAGCTTGGTCTCCAACTCCTGACCTCAGGTGATCCGCTCCCCTCAGCCTCCCAAAGTGCTGGGATTACAGGCCTGAGCCACCACGCCCAGCGTCCTAGGACTTTTATAGGCTTGCCTCATTCCCATTATTCTTCCCTTAGAATGGGCTTCCCAAATGTGCAGTGCTTTCATTACCCTTTTCTAGTGGAGGATGCCCCCAGAAGATTGTACTTCACCATTTTTGGTCTCTTAACACACAGGCCCAGAAAGTTGCTTCTCCCTGGGGCCTGCATACAATTAGCATTTTGATGTTAACAGGTGTGGACCATCAGGAAATGGCCTCTCCCTAGCACCGCCAAATTATCGTTTTTAAAGAGGCAATGAGATAATTATGGAACTGCCACCAGTAGCGGGGTCGTGACTGCAAGTTGACCAGGTTCTTGGCGGTTTGAATAAAGATGGACAAAACGCCCAGCAAAGAAAAAAAAGAATGAAGCAACAAAAGAAGGAAAGCAAGGATTTATTGAAAACAAACGCACACTCCACAGAGTGGCAGCCAGTCAGGGGCCGGGAAACAGCATTTTCTTGGGTCCCAATATCCCCTAGAAGCTTCCCATTGGCCACTTCATGCTCACCTCATGTAAATGAAGTGGTAGCCCGCAATCAGTCTGATTGGTTGCAAAAAGCAGCCAAGCAGAGGCTGAAGTTACAAAGGTCACACCCCTGTGCCAACATCTGATTGGTTGCTTTATGCACATGTGAACATTGCCTTTTTGCAAATCAGAGGCTAGGGTAAAGTCACAAAGTTATACTGCTATGCAAAGTTAGACTTGGCCACAATGAGTCTATTTGGTTACAGCCAGCCAATTTTCCATCTGTTGTGCAGAAAAGGCAGGGGGTTTGCAAAGGGAATATCTTCTAGTCCTTTTATTACTTAGGTATGGAAAGTTAGGGTTTTCCTTTCAATTTAGTTCCAGGAAGTTGGCATGAAACAGCTTTAGGTTCCCTGCCTCCAGACCCTGTTCTCCTGCCTAAGAACCATCACCGACATCCTTAGTAGGTAGGAGGGGAGAACCCTCTCCTGCCCGCTCATGCCTCACTACCTGTAACAGTTTGGCTGTGTCCCCGCCCAAAATCTCATCTTGAATTGTAATCCCCGTAATCCCCATGTGTCTAGGGCGGGACCAGGTGGAGGTAATTGGATCACGGGGCTGGTTTTCCCCATGCCCTTCTCCTGACAGTGAGTGTGTCTCACAAGACCTGATGATTTTATAAGCGTCTGGCATTTCCCTGCTTGCACTCATTCTGTCCTGCCACACCATGAAAAAGATGGCTACTTCTCCTTTGCCTTCTGCCATGATTGTAAGCTTCCTGAGGCCTCCCCAACAGTGCAGAACTGTGAGTCAATTAAACCTCATTCCCTCATAGTATTTCTTCATAGCAGTGTGAGAACGGACTAATACAGTGGGTTTCCCATAACTAATATTTGCAGGACTGCCTGCCCCACCCCACTGTCTGGAAGCAGCAGGACTCCCCCACACACCCGGCCCTGAAGAGCAGGGGGCGTATGGGTTCTAGGTTTCACCAGGGCTTCGGAACCCTGGCTATGCATGGAGGGGCCAACCCCACCTCACCCCACCCACACCACCCCAGTGATTCTGAGTCAGTCCGTCCAGAGTGAGGTCAGGCCTCCTTTTGTTGTTGTTTTGTTAGTTTCCTCACTAGGTTGTACTGGGGAGCTAGGGTTGAGAACCGCCGTCTTAGACGAAGCTGGACGCTCACATCCACCCGCCCTCGAGGCGCCCTAGGCTTCCCTGGGTTCCTGCACCCGCGAGCCGCGCGTCGCCAGGCACCACCCCGCGGGGGCGGGCGCGGGCCGCAGAAGGCGGAGCCACGGCGGAAGCCTCGCCGCTCCCCTCGCTGGAAAGCTCTGCGCGTGACTCGGCTGCGCCCATCGCTGCGGGAGCCGGGGAGGGGGCAAGCACCGCGGCCGGGCGGACCGAACCAACGCGCCGCCCGGAGGGGCGACCTGAGGGCAACCCAGATTGGACCATTGCGCCACGCCGACAGGGGCCGGCATTTCCAACCCGCCCGGAGGGAGGGGGCGCCGGCGCCTCTAGGCTGCAACGCGACCCCTGGAGGGTGCGAGACAACGCCGCCGCCGCCGGCGCGGAAGGACGAGGCTGAAGCGAGGAACGAGGTAGGAACGCCTCTCCGGAGGCTGGCGGGGTCCCACAGACCCACTACCCCGCGTTCCAAGGGCTCCCTTAGGGGAGGGAGGGCCTGTCTGCCCACCTCTGTGCCCTCAGCGTCCTCCCTTCCCCCTCGGCTGCACCCGCCCGCTGCGTCCGCCCCGACCCTCTGGACAGACCTCGTCCCCAGCCCTTCTGACCCCCGGCCTTCTCTGACTCGTCAACTCTGCGTCCACGGGACCTTCAAACATCCAGCACTCACCGTCCATTTGGGCGCCACCCCAAATGCACCCCCAACCGTCTCAAACTGCCCCCTTGGAGACACCTTCCCCCACAAAATGACTCGCGCCCGGTAGTCACCGTGGTACCCCAAGCCCCTGTGATGGCTTTGGGGAAGCGCGGCCGCCCGGCACCCAGGCCCGCGACTGCAGCGGGGGCCTCCCTACGGCCAGTCCCCGGCCGGGTCCTCTGCGCCCTCTGCACTTTTAGCCCCTGGCTCCCGTTACTATCTGCCCGGCGCCGGCGTCGCTTCAGTCTCTGTCTCTCCGTCATCCAGTTTTACCTGGGGAAAACCTTTGGCTTGGCAGTACTCGTCCCCTACTACTGCACTCACTTGCCGCGAAGGGCACAGTGATCCTGTGGCCCTCCAGGCCGGCCCTGCGGACAGAGGGAACTGTCCTGGGGTCAAGGGCCGTACACTACTCATCTTTGTATCCTCAGTCCCCAGCATGGTCCCTGGCTTACGGCGGTGGTGTCGGTGGAGAGTCTTCACTACCAGTTGTCCTTGGCGTTTTGAACAAAGAATTGAACAAAACGCACCAAGTAGCGGAGGAATG